CCGGGCAGGAATTCAAGGGGCGTAACGTACACAAATACCGTAAACGTACAGTAACGTAAACAAATACCGTCATTTTGGCACAAATTTCCATTTTTTCCTAAAATGGTAAACCTACAAGACGGACAATTACAAATACCAGCACAACATTTCTAGACATAAAAAAACGCTTTGTACTGCCTAGGCATGACGTGCTTAACGCGCGCTCGAGTGGGACGTCACATTTATCCCCCGAAGGTCTTTCCGGAATGGTTTCCGAACGACGCGGTGTAGTCGCACCAAATTTTATATAGCTGTAGAAAATTAAATAGCAGATCATTTCGTATCAGATATTTAGATGTGCCTTGTAAGGTCGGTGACCTACGGCAGACCAAAGTCAGGCCATGGATATAACGAAGTCAATTTCTAGAGAATCGCTTAATCTGATGGAACAGTGGAGTGTTAGACGAAGACATACATCTCTGAGATACTTTCCTATGCGACAAAACAATTTAATGAACAAATTCAATTGACCCAGGGTCAGGTGTAAAAGTCAAACCAAGGTCAAACCAACCTGCTTTATTATTCTAAAGCCTGCTGTATGGGGTACTTTCTAGTGTTCATTTCAAATTTGTTAAGTAACAGGAACCGCATTTTACGTCTTCCATGGGCTTTTTAAAGGTCATAAAAGGTTGCTGACATAAAATGACTGAGGTCAACATTTCGGTTTTAGAAACAAACTGCCTAGCGTAATCTTTGTCGCTTATTCAAGTAAAAAATTCAATGCAGTCTTGTATGATTTTGGTCACTATGACCTTCAAAAGGTCGAACAAGGTAATTGACCTAAATGAGAATGTTACCTCTTGCTTAGACCCGGTAGGTTGGTTCTGGGGCCACTTCGGAGACCAATCCGGGGTGTGACTTTTTGACTTTATTTGACCCGAAGGTCGTGACTTAGGACTCTCAAACTCCGACTTAAGTGAGTGTACGTACAGGTCAACACACATTGTGAATGTTGTGTCTCTAGCTCTCTTAGTTCCTGAGATCTCAGAGGGTCAAATTGACCCCCACCCGAGCAAATGGTATTCAACCGGCCATCCCGGCGCATGTTAAGCAGTAAACAGAACTTTTACACATCAAACCAATCTTTTATCACACTTCGGCACACTCCATTCAGACAAAACTAACACTGCGCTGAAGCCACCGCATACAGCATTGCCCATGATTGACGACCATCTTTCAAGTAAAGCGTGGTGAAAGTCCAAGCATCTGGCCGGCCCGTTAAGACAGCGTTGGGAAAAGTTAGAACCACACCTCACGTTCTGGTCCGATTCGATCTTACTTCATCGCCTTGTCCATAGAGAAACAAGGTTTATTAGTCATTTACTACAGGCTCTGAGACAAGTGCACACAGAAAAATGTTGCGCATGCGATTGCCTGCAAGTTATGCTAACGGGTTCATTACATAGGAGAAACTAAACGCCACCTGTGACCACGTTTCATTGACCATCCTCGTGACGCAATGAACACAATCAACAACACCTCCCTTGGAGACTATGACTGGCAAAGCCATCCCGGAACAATCATCGCGGCCGACTCTCGGTGTGTCAAAATTCTTCCAAAATGGAAGTACGTAGCTTACTTCCACATCACCAATTCTCAGTTCATCCCAGATAGGGAGCATGTGCTTAACACCAAAACATCGCCATGGAAAACTGTCGCACCGCCGTCGTATGGTTCGCATTAGATATGACCAAGCGGTTCGTTCAGTGTTTCTCCAGCAATACATTGTGTAATAGTTACTTGGGGCGTTTATGATTGCGGGCTGCATGGTAGCGAATCACGGCTATGATTGCTTAGTGAAGTGCTATGGCGAATTGTGTTTGTGGACTTGGATTTACGACGGTATATTGATGGAAGTGTGTCATGTATGGTATTCATGCAAAGATGTACAAGCAAGAAGCAAAGAAGCAAATATATACAAATGCACACACACACACACACACACACACACACACACACACACACACACACACACACCAC